CTCACGTTAAATAATTAAACACAATTTATTGTCCAGAAATTGTAAAAAAAAACATATAAACGTTATTTTCTATAGTACAGGATTAGTCAGAGAAAAATTTTATTAGAGAAAAATTTTTATACACCCAATTAACAAAGTGTTTTGTTTCTCATTCCTTGGATAAACTCAACAATTTGACTTCAATATCTCTTGGCGAGGTGTTCGTTGACATGACGGAGAATCAACTTTAAAGTATAACCGCGTGCATCAATAAATGCAGTTGCTTTATTCTTTTCTTGTAGAGAATAAATATTTTTAGGACGATACTTCAGTTTTCTTGATCAAGAAATGTGTAATTTCTAGAGTTTTTTTGCCACGAGACGAACTTACGTTTTGCAATTGCAAAATTATTTAAGATGATTTGATTGTTTTCGAGAGAACTTTCGTTGCTTAGGTGAATTCTATATAATTGGTTATTTCAAGTAAACAACTTCATAGCAGTTACCATGAAATTTTTTATTTAATTAGCTTCAAAGCGGTAGTTAATTAGCTTAAAAGCGGTAGTTATCATTATAAGGAAAACTTTAAAATTAATTAAGTTTTTGCACTACACCGAATTTTCACATTTGCCATCATCATGACGTCATTTTGTTACTCAGCACCTATGAAACATCAGAAACTGACTTGAAGATTTCCATGAGCATTTGTTTCTTTTGGAAAACTCAATTTTTTTTGGCTGCAACATCAGAAACACTTTGAGACTTTTGATAAAGGTATTTGCTAAACAATATGCCAGCAGGGTTCAGCGTGCTAATTAAGGTTTTAAAACTTGTTTCGATTTTTATAATCTCTACAAAAATCAGTTGCGAGAGCAACTATATGAACTTAACCAGGAATACTTGCGCTCTGTGTGTTTTTTCTTCAGATAAAATTTGACTTTTTTGCAAGCGCTTTTCAATATATTGTTCTCATACCTTCTGAAAGATATTGGCGCCTTGAGCTTAAGAGTGAAAAGATAGGTGCGTGATCAGGCGAATCGCACTACACTCATTTTTGTACAAATATTTGTTAAATCAGTCCGGCTCAGACATTGTTTCAAACTGATTAGAGGCAAGCTATTTTAACAAAGGATTTGTTGATAGACGTTAAATACATCTATTTAATTTTGCCAAAGTGCGTGGGGGATATTTTCAGTAAAGTTTTTTTTTCAATTTTTCAACACAAAATTTCATCAATTTTGAAATTTCTTGAAAAAATTACTTATTCCTAAGACATTAAAAGCAATTAGAAAATTTATGGCCTTGACGTTGTTTTCTGTTTAGTTTTGATGTTGTCTTTGTACTAAAAACAGAGATAAATTGATTGCAATTTATGCTCAAGCAATTGTTAGCTCTGACAAGCTTAAAATTTAAAATAACTCAATCTTAGAATCCGCTAGGAAGTATATTCAATTTCATTTTAAAATAATCTCCGGTCCTTAAAACCAATTTTGTTTTCAAAATTGAAATTGAATTCTTTGATTCTCATTCTTTTTCAGGTTCATCTCTACAGTCATTTACTTGTTCCTTTTTGAAGTCTTCAATTTGGATAAAATGACATCTAAGCAAGATTGATTGGACTTAAGAGAAATGGATGGACAAGGAATTTTTTTTCATTTATTAAAGTCGCGTGCTATACATACTGTCTAAAATGCAAACGTAAGGTCCTTCTGAAGCAAAACTGAATTTTGACGTTAGACGGAAAACAAGACTGCTGGTATCAGGGCAAAGCCTGAATGTTCCGACTTCCGTTTAGGGTTTTTGGAGCAATAATAACATAAATATCATTAACAAACTAATTGTAATAAAAAACTGAAGAAGCTTTTTTTCTCTAAAATATGAAATTTTTTCTCTGAAAATCATCACCCCACACGCCCTATTAAGTACAAAGTGATAGATTTTTCTCCTATTAACGAATCAATTATGGCATATAAGCTTCCTTGAATCAATTTAGAACGATTTTTAAGACGGACTAAATCTCCGCTTACGCGTTAATAGCGCGAAATATCGCGCGTGGATGTTTTTCATAAAAAATCTCAAATTTGAAAGAAAACTTCATTTAATTTTATTACATTTAATTTTTTATAAGTTATTACTGCTCCATAAAACTTAAAAAGCAGTCGGAAAATTCAGGGCTTCGCCCTGATACGAGCAGTTTTGTTTGAAGTATAGAGGCTAAATTGGTCCCGAACTCAGTTCTCTATAATTTTAACAAAAAGTCACATAAATCAAATTGGTTTGTTTTTGCGCTTCGGACATCATTTTCTTGCAGGTAGTATGAAAACAAAGCTGAAATTGATCACTTCAAAATTGAAACTTTTCCAGAAAATAAAGACGTGATTAACGCAAATATTCCGTCACTTTCTTTGAAGGCCGAAACAAGGAGCCGATGTCTTTCTGAACTTGCTTGTTTAGTCTTTGAAAACAATTTCCTAAAGAAGTTTTTAATGGAGTGCTCCTTTTTCTCATTTAATTGAATATCAGCAAAGAATCTGAAAATGACCACTTCAATATTTGAAAGTTGTCTGGAGAAAAAAACGCGATGAACACAAACATTCCGTCACTTCTTTGAGTGTCGAAACAAGGAGCCAATGTCTTTCTGAACTTGTTTGTTTAAAGTCTTTGAAAACAAATTCTTAAAGAAATTTCTAATGGAGTGCTTTTTTTTCTCAATTAATTGAATATTAGCAAAAAATCTGAAAATGACCACTTCAATATTTGAAAGTTGTCTAGAGAAAAACCGCGATGAACACAAATATTCCGTCACTTCTTTGAATGTCGAAAGAAGGAGCCAATGTATTTCTGAACTTGTTTGTTTAGTCCTTGAAAACAATTTCTGAAAAAAGTTGCTAATGAAGTGCTCCTTTTTTCTCATTCAAACAAATATTAGAAAAAAACTTCAACTAAAAGGTACGGTTTGCCAAAAGATAGTGAACAGATGCGGAACTGAAAACAAAAATTGGTAAAAACAAATGAAGAGGTTTTGTTTTTCTATTAAAGAGATTCTTTGAAATTTTTCATTCCAAAAAACGACGAATTGCTAATGCCCGATATGGTTTTGTGTGCTTCGGGCTACTTTCGAAACTATAAACAATAAGTTCTCACACATATTTTTTTACTATCTGGAAGCTGGTGAAATATTGGTTTTCATGTATCTAAGTTTGAAAAATACTTTTTGGTTTCAATTAGGATTATTAAATTCTGATAAACTATATTTCATTTTTTTTGCTTACGCGTAGGAGACACAGCAATGAAATCTGGTTGTTTTAACCCAAACAGTGTCGACGTCACCTTTATCATTGGTTAATTGAGGTCAAAATACATCTTTTTTAGCAATGTCATTTTTTCAATATAGGAACTGGAGTTATTAAAAGAAGTAGACAACTTTGAACCAAAAGAAATGGTTTAACTGCATATCAAACACTTATCAGATGTTTATTGTACTTTTTGTGGTATTCATTCAATTATATTTTGAGTTTATAAATCGTCTAAAACGACGATGTTCAAGTTCAAATTCCTCTGCAAAAGCGCAGTAAATTCTCACTAGTGTCAAATGTTGGCCAGATGCAAAAAATCTGGTTTTCCAAATCTTTTTGAGCACGTAAAGTGCTTTTTGAGATCCAATTACAACAATCAATTACGTAGCAACCGACAATGATCATGAAATGAACAGGTATTTTTCTCCAAATTTTGAAGAAATTTACAGAATACGGTTTTTTTAGTCGAGTAAAATTTCAGTCTTAAATATTCACTTGCGACGGAACTGTTTGTATCGTCGAAAGGATATTTGTGTGCTGATTTCAAATAAACAAAGATAGTTCACATGCCATGAGTTTTCGGCAAGTTATGAGAGTTCAATGGTTGTCAATTTGGCCGATTTAAGGTTAAAGTAGGCGCAAAATTCCAAATTGAATATTATGAAAATTGCGTGATAAGCTTTTTTTCCATATAAAAGCTTCAAATCCGAGGAAAATTGATTTCTAGTTCTCAATTAAGTTGCCTAACCAGTTTTACAAACAAAAAAACGTTTCCAAAAACTTTTTTTGCATGAAAATTTTTTGAAATTTTTGCTTATAACATAGTCCACGCACAGCCTTTCTGCATACTTAAAAGAATCAAGGGTCCAGTTGAAGGTTCTCTAAGATGGAAGAATTTGAAGTTCTTTCACGAAACAGAGGCCTCGGAACCATATACAAAAAGTTGCATTTTTTAGTAAAATTTTGAGTAAAGTTCAATTTTTATCTCAAATGGCATCTAATGCGTAGTTTTCTCAACAATTCAATGCCGTTCAACAGGTTGGTTTCTGCCGTTGTTGTTCATGGCGAAATAAAAATGTAGAGCGAAACAAAAAAACAGTTACAAGGAAAAATTGATTGTAATACAATTCCATAGTGTGAAAAAATGCTTATCATGTGATTTTCATACAAAGTTTTTTATTTTATGGAATTGTTTGAAATTGTAAGATAAACATTTTTTCCATAATATGGAATTGTATTATTAGCGTTTTTGTCAACCCGGGCTCAATTGGAGGCTTAGGGGTGAACTCATACCAGTGATTTCAATTCGGAATCAGCAGAAAACCATGTATTAAGTATAAAGTTCTACCCTCTGATGGCAAGGGCAACACCCTGGCGCGACTGCGGCGGAATGTACATTGCTAATTGTCCTTTAATCCGAGTTGTCTTTTATTGCGAGTTGTCTTTAATTGTGATTTGTCGCATTATGTAACTTAAAATAGTTTTTGTTACTCTCGATGCATATATTATTTCCGCTGACTATAAAG